GCAAAACCACCACTGTAAGCCATTCAGGACCTGCTTCTAAAGTATTAGCTTGGGAAATATGGGTCAAATCCATTCCAACACACACACTTTTCATACTGTGTTTCGCAAACTGTATTGCTTCCCATTACCTCTCCAACAGCAGAGGGTTAATGGGAAAAATAAACACCAGAGCCATTTCAAGTATATTACATGTTTTTTATGGCTAATCTATGGCACAGTCCACTGCCAAGCATTTAGCATAAAAATCAGTTTGATCTGTATTCATCCCAGAATTTAAAAAAATTCCACAGGGAGGGGGTAACTCTCTCTCTCGTTATGAACACAAAGACGCTTGCAGAGAAGGGCAATTGCCTGCAGAAAACAAATACTGTTAATAAGGGCAAAGAGGCAATTTCATTATCTCAACCATTTGAGAGACACGGGCATTAATAATGTAAACAACAGCCTTAATTTTCCGCACTGCCAATGGAAAGGACTGTAATTTCTCTCTCGTTCACAATCACTTTCACACTCATACACACACTGGTTTTAGGATTTAAAATAGCCTTGTGGAATGATTAAAAGGGCAGTAGCACAGGACATAATATCCAAACCAGGTACTGGCTGTTGAAAAAGCAACAAAGGGGGATACAGCATTATGCATCAGCTTACATTCTGTGCAATTAAAGGCCATAGTCAGCACCAGAAACCCCTGCCATGACCCTAACCATAAAAATCTGGAGAGAACATATCCTAGCCCAGGGGTGGCCAAACTTGCTCAATGTAAGAGCCACAAAAAATAAACATCAGATGTTTGAGAGCCACAAGACATGAACAAATATTACACACAGGTTTTTATTTTAAAAATATGCAAATTTACTTTTTATTAACATTAAACGAGATTGCCAAAAATAAAAACAAAAGGGGTAAAAACAGATGTTTATAATGATATTTATTTGTCCAATGATATTTATTTGTTTGCTAATGATATTTATTTGTTTGCTAATGATATTTATTTGTCTCAGAGAGAAAAAGATAGAGAGGTGGAAAGAATGAATGAGGTGGAAAGAATGAATGAGGTGGAAAGAAAGAGGAAAAGAGAGAGAGAGAAACAAAGAAAGCAAAGAGATGGGGGAGGGAGGGGGAAGGAAGGAAGGAAGAGAGAAAGGAAGGAAGGAGGGAGGGAAGAGAGAAAAAGAGAAAGAAAGGTGGGGGAAAACCAAATAGATGGGGGGCAGGGAGGGAGGGCAAAAGAGAAAGAGAGAAAAACAAAGAAAGCAAATAGATGGGTGGGAGGGGAAAAAGGTATGCCTCCCCTTCACTCCCCCAGCTGCCCTGCCGGGAGCCGCACAATATGTGTGAAAGAGCCGCATGTGGCTCCCGAGCCACAGTT